GCTCTTTTCTCGGCCGGCGCTCCCGTTGCTTCTCCCTTCCACCTCTTCCACCTCGTCTCTCTATTCCGACACTCATCTCCATTGCTGTGAGCCTTTTCAATGATGTCGAGCTCGCTCATTCCGCGCCTAATCAAGCCCGCGCTCCGGCTTTTTCCGCGGATCTTGTTTCCGTCGAGTTTCCGCCACTTGCCCCGAGCGTGTTTCAAAAATGAGAAGCAGCTTGGTCCGTAGTGGCGTAGTCCGTAAGTGCCGGTGAAAAATTAGAAAAGCAGCACGCGTTTCCCGAGCTTTACCGACAAACGCAAATGTGTTCTGAATAATTCCGATGAACGCGATTTGCGCACGGTGTTCGCACGGGTTCTCCGAGTAGGCGACTCGAAGAGGATCACGGAACATTCGATCCCGTTGAGATGCGCATTTTAGCTCGGATCAGCAGCATTTGAATAATGTACTCGGGAGACTGGCAGGTGACTCGAAACAAGCCCAACGGGGAAAACCGAGATACCGCGAATTGCAATTGCAATTGAAAGAAATGACTTGTAAGCTGGCGCCTGCGAAAGCAAGCCGAGCGACGATCGGTGTCCGAGCCGAGGTTCGAGCAGGTGCCGGGATGCGGAATCCGCAGGTCGGGTGCAGCGCGGGGCTCCAGCTCGTCGTCATTCTCGACGACGAGAGCTGCTCGCGAACTTGTCGGGCAGATATAGCCGGCGGGGATATTTTGTAGCTGGTTTGTAATGGGTCTGCTTGCTAGTTGGTGTCTGACGAAGGCGCGCCCGCATTAGTCAGCGGCAGCGCGCGTCATTTATAGACGTTAAAAGGATTTCCATGCGGCGCCTGTCAGCTTATAAATTCCTCGATTAAGGGGCTCACGCAAACAGAGCTCGGAAATATCTGGCCGCGCCGGCATCAATTGGAGCCGTGGCGCTGCCGCGGGCAATTTGTCAGAGGCGTCAAGCAATAGGCCGAGCGCGGCCGCCAATTGCTCGGGCTGCTAGCGTCGGTCGCTCGCGCCTGCTCGGCCGAGGCGATTCCGCCGGAATATTCGGGAGACGCGCGGCCCGTTTTCAATTCTCGTCGCTCGCGTGATACGCGTCGCCGCCACGAGGCCGACTCCATTAGCCGAAAACCGACTGTCGACTCGACTCTTTGTTTGGCTGGCTAAATTAATCGGCGCCGATTCTGGCGCGGAGCGAGGGCGGGGGCCGCGGGAGGGAGCAGTCGACGGCCGACGGAGGGGCTATCGATCGGGCCGCGCGCTTTGATCTATTCTCGCGAGGCTTTCCGCCGCGAACGAGCTGGGCCAAATCCTCCGGATTCCCGCGACGCCTTTTTCCAGAGTCGCTCGCGGCCGAAAGAGCGCAGCCAAAAAACGAGAGATGGCGAGAGAAAGAACGAGCGGAGAGAGCGCGCGGAGAGAGCGCGCGAGTGCGTTCGTGCTAAGAGCGCCACTCGAGCGGCCCACTCAAAAGCTCATTAGTCATCGGCGTGCACTGCACTCTCCGAGCGCTCGCTCGCCGACTAAACTCGGCTGCTCGCGAGCCTCTCGAGCCTCCCGAGCCTCCCGAGCCTCCCGAGCCTCCCGAGCCTCCCGAGCCTCTCGAGCCTCTCGAGCCTCTCGAGCTGCGTGCGACGTCGCTCGCAATTAGCCCGCAGCGCCAGCCGCCGAGTCCGATCGCTAAATATGCGCGGCCTCGTCCGTCCTCGTCGCTCGTCAAGGCCCCCGGCCGGGCGCGACTCGAGGCTTCTTCGGCCGACGCAGCCGAGCCACTAATTGCACAACTGATTAGAGTTGCCGCGCTGCTGCGATGCAGCCGAGAGTCTCGCCGCGTTGTTCGTCGTTCGTTGTTCGGGCGGCGGATTATCGACTGGCCGGGCTGCGGCGCCGCGGCGCTCCGGCGGAATCCGCGTGCGAAAGGTAAACAGGGGTTTTTTTCGGGTCGGCCGCCTTCGCCGGAGCTCCGACGGCGATTTGCGATTGACTTTTGGCGCGAGGGTGGGAAAAAGAGCCACATCAGACCGAGAGAGCGGCATATGTCTGGCGCTGGCCCCCGTCGGGGGATGTAATCGAGCTCGCGTGTCTTCCGGCGCTACACACTCGACTCGACTGGAGCAGCCAGCGGGGGTCGGCGGCCAGCCCCTACGACAAACCGACTCGACTCGTGCGGCCAACTCACTCGTGAAATCCGATGAGTCTTAATTGTTTATGCGTTGTTGCGGGCCCGAGGCGACACCGGCGACCTGGCGGCCCCCGAGGATCGCGAGCGGCGGCTCTGCCTTGGGAGGCGCGGCGGACGCCTGATGTGCGGACAGCTGATGTGCGCCCGACAGAAATAACGCGCGGCTTATTAAAAAGGCAAGCGGGGGAAGCCGAGCTGCGGGATAATGGGGCGCGAGTCGATTTCAGTTGTGTCAATAAAAATCGAGGGGGGCCGTCGGCGCCGGCCTACCATCCAGATAATCTGCGAGGCTCGAGGGGTCGGCCGCCAGCTTGTTTTATTGGTTTATTTATCACGGTGTAACCTTAGCACGGCTTAACCGGGGATTACGCTCGTCAGATTTTTATTAGACTGCAGGACCAAAGTGCACGGCTATTTTGCTCCCACAGAGATCAGTGCTTATTGAAAAAAGCGGCGCGCCGCCTCCTCGGCCCGAGAAAGTTAAATAAAAGGACCATTAGGTGCGAATAATTTGGTCGTCGACGGTCGCGCGCAATTTTTCGCATTAAAATTCCGCGCGCTCTCAGAAAAGTGCAGAGCTAAGCGAGCAGGCGAGCGAGCGAGCGACCGACCGACCGACCGACCGGAGCGGAGGGAAGGAGGCAGACAGGCCCTTACAGAGTTGGGCCTAACAAGCGGCCAGTTGCTGCTCGATACTTTGTGTGTGCGCGCGCAAGGTGGCGTGGGCATGCAGTGGCAATATATTAGAGTGGCCGCAGCCTTAGCTTGCTGAGTGTAGCCCGAGCGGGGGGCCGCATTGTCGTCGGCGCCTGCCTGTCTTTTCAGCTGCGGCCTTTGTTCTACTGCAGGCTGGAATCGCGCATGCAAAATCCTCTTCCCCTCGGCACGGCGAGCCATTGAGAGGCGAGTGGACTCGCAGAAAGAGGCTGAAAAGTAGCCGATAAAAATTGGCAAAAAGCGAGCTGCACGCAGCGAGGGGGGCAGCGAGGGGGCCGCGAGGGGGCAGCGAGGGGGCAGCGAGGGAGAGAGAGACGTCAAAGCTCGTTACCAACGACTTTTTAATCGAAACCGATCATTTCTGTCCGCGATAATAGGGCCTTTCTTCCCGACGGACTTTTCATTAATGCTGCTGCTGCTGCTGCTGCTGCTGCTGGCGCTCGCAAAAAAGCGCTCGAGCAACGTCTCAATCGCGGCCCAGCATTTTCATTCTCTCAGCTTTGAGCCTTCAGCTTTCAGCTTCCGCGCCGCGAGCCTTGATGCCGGCCTAAGTGGACCAACTTTCAGGGTGGTTAATTGCTGGAAGGAGCCGAGAGAGACAGCAGAAAGAGCTGCTCGGCTCCATAAAATTTGTTTGGCCAGCAGTAGCCAGCAGAAGCAGCGCCGGTTAGAAGGAGAAGGACGGGACAAGAAAGAGCGAAAGAAGAGAGGCAAAAAAGGCAGCGAGGCGGGCCGGCCCGGCCCGGCCCGTCCATAAGAAGGTGTGCGTGCGTGCAACGGATGATTTAATTAAAAGCAGCACAAATTACGGCCGCGCGCGCCGGCTTAATTAGCCGCTGCGCCGTGATAGCCGTCGCAGCCGGCAACGCCCACGCGGACGCGATTATTAAGGGCCTGCACTTGTTTGTTTCTCGCCACTGGGTTTTTTCGCCGTCCGCTTAATTAAGGCGCGCCGGCGACATCTTCATTATATTGGCGGACAATCGGCAGGCTGTTAGGCGCTCTCGCGAGCGCGCTGCACTTTGCGCAAGGTGCTACGTGACCGCGCTTGCGTTTGCTCTTCTCGCCTGGCAGCCTATTTGCAGGCCTTTCTCGCGGCGCACATGCAAATAACGAGTCGCGCCGCGGCTTATAAATCACACAATAGCGCTCTTTGTTTTTTCGCTGGCTGGCGTTAATTTGCGAAAGAGGCAAAGAGCCGAGAAGCCGAATAAACGGACGAGGAAGGCGGCCGCTGGCAGGCAATAAAGGCGCAGCGCTGGCGCGCCGCTTCAGCCTATTTTATTATTTAATTTCGCGGCTGCGCGACGCCCGGAAAAACGCTGATACGCGCCAGCCTTAACGTCTCCAGCTGCTGACATTATTATTCGCGCCGGCGCGAGCTTTACGGGGCCGCAAATCATCGGCCTGTTCATATTTCGCGCCAGCTCGCTCTCGTTATTCACTTTATATAATGCCGCCCCCGCCAATGCTCGCGCCATTTGAATTTTCAATCCCCGGCCATTACGCCCTCTCTCCGGGCGTCGCGCGCCACGAGGCGCTCTCAGCCGGCGCTCCGCACCAAATCACGGCAAACTTGCCGACGAGCGGCGGCTTGAAAGCTCGGCCCGATCATCGCGCGCTGTTTATCGAGGCGAGCGCTCCGTTGATAGTGTTTGCCGAGGCGGATACGCGCGAGGCCTCTCCGGTTACCTCGGCCCCCGAAAGCTGCGAGCTGCCAAAGAGGCCGCCAGCTGGCGACGCAGCGCCCGACAGCCCGGGAAAACCTCGCGTGTAATGGCCTCCGAAAGGCTTCGCCCCGCCGGCTTGTTTGCCCCCGATACCTTCTCCAAATATTATTCGTTCGCCTTTGTAGCCGCGACGCTCCTCCGCCTACAAGCCACATCACAACAAACGCTTCTCCCAGGGCCACTGTTCTTTATTGTTGTTCCTCGTTGCTCTCGACTTATCGCAAGTGCTCCGACACGACGTCGAGCAGTCTGCGGTACACCGGCCTGTCGGCCTTCGTTGACCGGATCAAGTCCACGTGGTTGAACCGATGCTCAGTTTCCTCCCCCAGGTATTCCACGCTCTGCATAACGGACGCGCAAGTGCGATTGTCGCAGCTTACCTCGCGTCCGACACGAACGAGTCGTTGGGTGCGTGCAGAATCGCCACCGGAACGCTCGCGTTGGGGCAGGCCGTACTCAGGCGGACTGGGAGTCCGATAGTAGTCGTCGTTGGAGCACCAGAACCGCGTGGAGGCGCACCCGTAGTCGTACTTGGTCGGCTTCCCTGTGGAATTCTCGCGGAAAGACGCTCGAGCGTCTTGTAGGAGGTGCCTGCCGGCGAGTAGCTCAGGATCGTCGGTACGCGGGCCTGGAAACACGCGAGTGTCAAGGGCATACCCGAGACTCGGAGGGCACGCCTCCACTCCGCGCGAGGTTCGCGCTGCCGACGTCGGCGAACGTGGACATGCGCTCGCGGCACGCGTCCGCTACGCTTGCGTTGCAGTGTTCCATTGCCCACCTGCCGATAACCACCGACTACGGCCAGATCTCGCGTACGGAGCGCAGCTTGGCGGCAGCCTGCGAGTCGACGTGTCACAACGTAGACGAGTGCGAGCGAGCGCGCGCGTGCATGCTGCATGCTCACCGATAACACTGACGCGAGGCCGCGCATTTTCACGCTCCTGAAACTAGTCGAGTAGTGCAGGAAATAGACGGACGGGCCCAAACTCACGAGCAGCTCCATTTTCTCGTTGTACTCGGGCTTCTCGGCCAGGAGCACGTTGCTCAGAGTCGCGCCCACGGAGTATCCCACGTAGGTCAACTTGCGTCCTCCCGACTTCTCGAGAGCGAAGTCGATCAACTTGCTCAAGTCTTTGGAGGCCATGTCGTCCAAACTGCAACGGTGCAGCTGTGTTTGCGTGCCGCTCGTACGGGATGCTCGGCGACTTACCTCAAGTTCCAAAACGCACCGCTCCCGGGAGAGTGCTCGCGATGCGGTCTCGACAGCGAGTTGCCCCTGAGGTTGCCTCGCCAGACGTCGTAGCCGGCGTCCGCCAGCGCGAGAGCTGCAACGATAAGCACCAGGTGTCGCTTTGGCGAGTATTCGGCGAGCTGCACGCGAGTCGTACGCAGTACGCAGTTGTCGGGCTCCAGAACGACCATCAGTTCCGACGACCGGTTTGCCAGCAGCTTTCGGACCGAGCGGACTGCCGGTTATCCTGTGCATCGCTGAAACGTAGCCGTCCTCGGTGGTCATTCGTGCTGCTCGACCATCCCGACCTTCGATCGCGTCGCCGATTGAGTGACATTATTACGCGAGTCGTGCGCTGAATGTCGCTCGGAAACAATCACGCGGTACTGCGGAACGTGGAGCCTGCAGAGCACCGCGAGGCCTGCTACCGTGGTCGCGACCATCGCTCCACCGAGTGCCCCGCGAGCTCATCCGCCGCGGCAATTTCAGCTGCTCGCCGCAACGATACCACGTTTGCCAGCTGCCACCTTTTGCTTTAAGGATAACCTTGGCACCGCTTTCAGATCTAATACGCTTATCTCGATGTAATTATGATAACCGGCGTCCACAGGCAAATATTGAATTTCAACAGAAAACCTGACAACAAGATCAAGCCAGATGGACCTTATCTTTCGTTGAATATTCATTGCTCACTACATGCCATATTACTTGCTTATACAAACACGCATGAGGCTCTTTAACGTTAAACGATATCCATTGGGAAATTGATATGTCAACTTTTCCGAAGAATTCCAGAGCACGTGCATTAATTAATACTTGACATCGATGTTGTTTGATGTTCGTTCGGTTATTTTCGCTTGAATTGGCAGTACGCACTTGACGATTCGGAGCTCACACGAGACACGTATAAAAGTGCGGTGACTAAACGTGCCTGTCCATCGACAAATTCATTTATAATTGCGCGCTCTCCAAGTCGTTCGCTTGTACCATTACATTTTTCAGCTCCTACTGGCCCCTACCTGACAATTGGCCCGAGAGCCTGTATTGCTCTTCTGGTTTTCGCTTTGCAATTCGAGAAACGCCCTCGAAAGCTCCAGTGCTTCGGCTAATTTTTGAGAGCTCCTGCTCCAAGTGTCTGGCAAGTCGGCAGAAGCTGCTCGGAAGCTCGTCTCGGCTCGGCTGAGGCATACAAACGATAAACCACTCTTGTTTATAGACAGTCAACTAATTCCAAGGACCATCCATCTTTAAAACTAGTCGCCCGTGCCGAAGATTTATAAACTTTTACTGCTCTTATCAGCGAGCTAGATAAATATTGATAATTATGCATAAACGAGTGACAGTAGCGGTAAGGCTATATTTACATAGACAGGCGTGGTGGGGTGCGAAGTGCCGGTTCATCATTTTAATTACAGACTTGTCAAACGAAATGGTAACGCGAAAGATTACGGTAAATAATAGAGCACGGAGTGGCCGTGAAAGCCGAACAGGGTCGGCTCGTTATCGCGCTGGAATATTTTCGAGCGGCCGGGCAGGTCTCCGATGAAAGCGACGAGCAGGCGAAGATGAGCGCGAAGCGGCGGGCAGAGGAGGTCGTCGGATCCTCACGGTGGACGCTGGATGCCGACACGAGGCAGGGACGTCTCCGGCGACGGACCGATCGGCGGGCAGAGCTTTGAGCGGGCGCGGAAATCGATCGATCCGAGGCGATAAGCCCATTAAAACGTTGCTCGGGCCAAACGAAGGGCGTAAATCATGACGGGCGCGTGCGGGAGCCGGGCGGGGCGGCGGCGCGCGATGAATATTAATGAAATCATCGCGCCGCTTACAGGCCTATTAACGCCGCGCCGAGCGATTTGGCCCGGCAGCGGCGGTCCGGCTGGCGCCGCGTGCGCGCTTTATCGCAGCTGCCGGAATATTAGGCCGATCGATCATCGCGCGGCCCCGCGCACGCCCCCGCCACGGCTTTCCCATGGAGGCGCCGATTGAAAAGTGGCGCACTCCCGAGGCGTCCGAGAGCGATGGGCGCAGGCATTAGCGCGGCGCGGCGCGGCGCGGCGCGGCCTCGAGTGCGCAGTGAACGACGGACGCGGGGGCGACGCAGACGCCGGCCGCGCGGCCAATATCGATATCGGGATTTGGTGGCCGGGGCCGCTTATCCGCGCGCGCTCGGCCATCTTTTATTCATGACCGCGCGCGCTATCTGGCAGCCGATATCTGGCCGCGGCCCCGCCGCTCGGGGGCCGCGCGAGCCGGGCGCGACTTACTCGGCTTGGCCGCGGGGCCGTCCATCGGAATAGCGGACACATAGGAATAGCCGCATTAGGCAAAGTCAAGCGCCGACGGATGGCGCATGCCGCTCCGAAGCCGCTCCAGCGCCGGTCCCTCGGGCATTGCCCCGGTCTTTGTCCCGCGCGATTTTCAGCATTTTCAGCTCGCGCGGCGCTATTCCGCTCCGCTTATCGGCGCTCCAATTTCGCGCGAGCTGCTCCGGGCCCGACGCCCGACGGAATTTCAATCGCAGCCTCGCTCAATATTCAAATGCGCGGGGGCGCTCGCCATCTATCGCGCGGCGCCTCGCCCGCTCGAGTGCAAGCTCGTAAAAAGCTGCGCGGCTCGAGGGGCCAAATAATCATTGCCGAGAAATTTCATAAGTGTCTGCGGCGCGCTGCTCGGCCGAGGAGCGGCATTAAGCAGCCGTGAAATACGAGCGGGCGCGCCGGCGAAGCCAGTAAAAGTGCTATCGAGCTTGCACCCCCTCGGCTGGCGACGGCGCCCCGGAGCAGCTCGCGGAGCTTCCAATCGGGGGCGCGCGCCGGGCGGCGATCGCCGATCAGTCAGCGCCCGAGTTTTCGCATTCGGGCGGCGGCACTTTCATTTGCATGCTAAGAGCGCGCGCCGTCGCCGTCGCCGCCGCGCCGGCTGCGGATTTCCATTTAAACTGGCAAAATGGCTGGCGCGCGGGGCGCCGGCGCTACAAAATTTTTTATTGAAAGATTCGATGCAGATAGGCCGCCGACGCCGCCGCCGCCACCGCGAGAGGGAGAAAAAGGCTGAGTGCGCTCGCCGCGCCTGCGCGAGCCAATACTCGCGCGCAGATAAAACGCCCTTTATCTGCTCACTCCGCCCAGTTCGATTCTCTCTGCTGCTCCTCTCTTTTCCCTTTTCCGCGCTCTCACTCTCTCTCTCTCTCTCTCTCGCTCTGCCTGCATGCGCCAGCTCCGCGCTGCCAGTCGATTTTTCTCCTTCTATCGTTTCCTCATTCGTTCCTGTCCTCCAAATCACTTTTATGGCGTTTACGGACGAGCCTTTTATTCATGCGCGTCGCTTTGTCGAGCCGCCGCACGCGACGTTATTAATGCCCGCCTCGACCCGACTACATCTATATATACCTGTTCCCCTATTTTTTTCGCTGCTCGGCTGTCCGCCGGATATTCGCTCGCGATGCAACTTTGCAAAAAGTCCATTGGCCGGCTCGCGCGCCCCGTAAATCGATCATCAGGCCGGCTCTACTTATCTCGCCTCGGGGCCGAATGGCTTCCGCCTGCGCGCCGGACCAACGGGAGAGGAGGAGGCTCGCCTCTGATTTATCCGAGAGTGAGAAAATTAGTAAAGATCGGAGGGCGTCCGAGGGAGACGGCTGGTCCGAGTGAAAACAGAGGGACGGAGAGAGAAGAGCTTAGCCGCTCTTCCGGCACCTCGCGCTGCCGGTCGAAAGCCAACTGGGCAAACACGAGGCCGTCCCGCGGCGGCTCGAAAAATCACCAAGCCGTTGACTCAGGCTTATCGGCTTACAAGTCAAAGTCGAGCGGGCCGGCTTCAAAGGAGCAGCGGCACTGTGGGCGCAGCTATTAGGCGCGACGGAAGCCCGGCCCGTCATGTGCCAGCGCCGCGCGCTCACGTGCAGATTCGGGAAGAGCCGAGGCGAGGGAGTAAGACGTTTTATCGGCGAGCCGATATACGACGGCGCGCGAGGGCTTAATCTCTCACGCTCGGCTGGCTCGGCTGGCGCGCGCGCGGCCATCCGCTCCATTCGCCCCGACCCCTCGCCTACGCCGCCGGCAGATCCACTGCGAGTTATTAACAGCGCGCAGTCGCGAATGCGACGAAACTGGGTAAATAAGCATAGGCAAGCAGATAACATTCTCTCGCGTCATTTGTCATCGTCTCTCGTGGGCTTTCGACTTTGGGCACGTGCACCTCGGCGTTATCGGCCGGTCGGCATCTCCCGGCGCTCCCCGGCGCTCCCCGCCGCGCCCCGCCGCGCCCCGCCGATCCAAGTGCGAAAAGGCTTATCTGGCGCGCGATAAGGCTCCCCTCGGCCCTTTCTCGGCGTCTTTGTCGCGCGCCGGCAGCCGCGCGAGGTGCTAACTCGGCGGCCGCGCGCTCGCGGGGCTTTTCCGCGCGCGGAGCGCGCCGCGCTAACGAGAGCCGAGAGCCGCCAATTGGTCGAGCAAGCTTCGTCTCCGCGATCGGCGAGGCTCGCCGGCGTCGATTTGTACTGGGCGCGGGCGGCGCGGGCGGCGCGGGGATGCGCGGCCGGCCGCGGGCGGTTGGGCCGCGCGCCTATCTCGGGCGCTGGATCTGCGCGCGGCGCTGGCCGCCGCCGGCCGCCGCGATATCATCGATACTTCGAGCCGTGCGCGCGCCGAGTTGTGCCGCGGCGCGCACCGGCGCGACTCGGACCCTTTGTCCTGCCCGGAGACAAAGGCGCACGAGCGCGCGCGGCCGCGCCACAATATGAGAGCTCGTGAGATATTTATGCGGCGCATTGTCTCCGCTGCGCAGCGCCCCGCACGACAGCCGGCGACAACTTCATTCGCGGCGCCGAGGCGAGTTATGAAGCGACTCGGCGCGCACCACTCGAGCGGCCTCTCGCCCCATCGACCGGCGGCCGCGGCGGGCCTCGCGCCGCCTTCGCACGGCCGCTGGCTATCCGGCGCGCGGATTCGCCGGCCGAGCACTAATTCCGCGCTAATTCGTTTATCGGGCGCCCGAGCCGCTGCCATCCGACGCGCTGGACGGGCGCCGACGGCGACGAGCTCGACTGGCCGCGCGGCGCTCGAGAACGGGCCCCCGAACGGAGCGCCCGACTGGGACTGCAGCGAGTCAAGTGGCCCGAGCGCGGCACAAAAAGACTCGAGCTCTCGCACCGGCCGAGTGGCCCACAATGCGCCTTTGTTCGCGCTGCTCCCGCTCTCCGGAGAGCATCCTATTTTCCGCTTTCCCAAAGTCACACGCGCGCTGCACTACCGAAATAGCCACGCTAGGATGGCTCCGTTCTTCTCTCCTGCATTCTCTCGCCTCTTTCTCGAGAATCGTCGCGCGCGATTAGGAGCTCGGAGCTTTGGTTTTTTCTCACGTTGGCCCGGCAGTCGCAGGCGGCAGGCGGCAGCCGGCAGCCGGCAGCCGAGCGCGCGTATCGACGCCCGAGCGACGCGCGCGACGCGACTTGGCGCGAGGACACGAGCAAAGTGCCACTCGGCCGAAAACAAGCTGGGCGATAAAAAATTTTGACCACCTATCGGGCGGCGGACACGGCCTGCCACTTAGCGGCAGGGCTCCGCTCGAGTAAATCGCCGCCGCAGCTACTTGTTTTCCGTCAATCGGCCTCGATAACAGCGCGCGGCTCGCGGCTCGCGGCGCCGAATTAACGGCTTCTCCCTCGGCAGCTGGCAGCTTCTGTGCGCGCTACGTTGTTGCCGCACTGCTTGCAGCGCGCTCGGTTCGCCCATTCAATGTCTCGGAATTATCGCCAGTGTTTATTGACGATAAGCCGCGCGATAATGAAAGTACGTAATACTAGATTACATAGTTGAAGCGCGAGAGAGCGCGGCCAGATTAAATGTTTGCTCGGGCCTCGGCACTCTCGTCTTAATTCTTCGCCTCGCGGTCGCTCGCCTGGCTCGCTTGTTATTCCTTGGCAGCGGAGCCGCGCGGCGCGCACCTACACCTCCGCGCGAGACCCAGCGAGACTCGGAGGATCGGCAAACGTTTGCTCTCCCTCTCGCTCCGGCCGACGCTCGGCCGCGCTCTCGCAGCGCCGAGCCGGAGGAATCGATCGGGAGCGTAACGCGGCAAGCCGCGCGCGCTCGTCCCACGTGTCGCGCGGGTGCCGTCGCCGACCGGACGCTCGGGCGCCCGGCCGAAGGCGCAAACAGCGCGACGCTGTTATCGGCCGACGAACGATGGCTCGCGCGCGCGCTGCTCTGTCCGGTGGGCTCTCGGCGGCGAGCGATCCGCGGGGCTCGCGCTTGCCAGCGATCGTCGGCTAATTAATTTCGGTTGCGTAAGTGCGCACGAGCGGTGGCGGCGGCGGCGGCGGCGGCGGCGGCGGCGGCTAATCGATCTCGATCGCTCGTTACGCGGCGCGCGCGCGCGCGTGCACATCGAGCACGTAGCGCTGATAAGAGCGCGGGTCGGTCTGCGCCGGATCGCGCGTCGCGCGGGCCGAGCAGCAGCAGGCGCGTCAATTAGCATCTATCGCGGCACTGATTGCGCAAGATCGTCAGCTGGCGAGCAGTCGAGCAGCGCTGCCGCGCTGCCGCACGCTCGCGACGGCCCACGAGGCGGATCGCGTGCGATCGGCGATAAGGCCGAGAGCGACTAATGCGCTAATTACGGCGGGCAGCGCCGGGGCCGGCTGGCCGATCAGATTTTGGAAATCCGGCGGCTTCGCGGAAAGAGCGGCGGCGGCGGCGGCGGCGGCGCCCGATGCTTATCCGCGACCGCGGCCGCGGCCGCGCCATTAGCTCGCCCGACCCCGGCTCATCAACAATTAGCCGATTGCATAATCTGATGCGGCGCGCGATTAACGGCCGGATAATCGCTCGCCGCGGATCCGCGCTCTCGGCTCCTCGCTGCTCGTCTCCGCGCAGCGCCGAGAGCGAGACGGTGGCGCGCAGCGCGGCAGCGCGGCCGCCCGGCCAACTCGCTGCCCGCGGCTCGCTCGGCCGGTCGCGCCCGCCGAGCCGAGCCGCCTATCTTATCAATTAGCCGCGCAACTGGGGGCTCTCGCTTGGATGATGGACGAATAAAGATAAGCCAATAACAACAGCGATCCGCTCAAGTTTTTGACAAGCGAGTCGATCGATCGGGCTCTCGACCGACCGCTCGCTTCTTTTATTATTAAATATTTGGTTCTATGTGGCTAAGCAGCTGTTTACATTTATACAAAACACCAAGACTCCGGCGCAGCGCCGGCCGGCGCGCGCTCTATGTACAATTGCGATAACCTAGGCGCATGACGATGACACAGTGGAAGAGAGGAGAGAGACCAAGAAACACGACGGGGACGATTTATTTACAGGCGAGGGGCGTCTATGTACAGAAGGTGGGCCCCCGACGAGCTCAGTCGGTTCGGCCGCCGGGCTGCTGCGGCGCCAGCGGCGTACAGTTGGCGTGGGCCTGCGGCTGCAGCTGCGGCAGCATGCTCACCGGGTAGAGGGCCGCCGAGGCCAGCAGGCCCGGGTGCGAGCCGTACAGCGCCGAGTGCTGGCGCACCGCGCTCATGCGCAGCTTCTCGATCTCGGCCTCCTGCAGCCGCTTCGCCTTGGCGCGCCGGTTCTGGAACCAGATCTTGACCTGCAAGCAAGCGACGGCCGGGCGGTCAGCCGAGTGGGTGGGCGCGCGGGCGGCTGCGGCGACGGCGGTGGCGGCGGCGCGCGACCTACCTGGGTCTCGGTGAGGTGCAGCGACGAGGAGAACTCGGCCCGCTCGGCGACGCTCAGGTACTGGCGCTCGCGGAACTTCTTCTCCAGGGCGAGCAGCTGCTGCGTGGTGAACGGCGTCCTCGGCTTGCGGTTGGGCTTGTGCTTCCTCAGGTTGCACTTGATCTTGGCCGGCTCGCCGTTCTCTGCAAAACGGTCAAGTCAGTCTTCGAGCCAGTCGCGGCGGACGCGGGCGACGGCGCGGCGACGCTGGCCCGCGGCGGTTGCGCAAGCTGTTGTCGACGCGGCCGCGATAAGAGCCGGCGGGCTCGCTCGCGGCACGGCGCCGCTCGGCGGTCCGCGAGTCCCCGGGCGGCTCCGGCCGAGGCCCACGGTCTCCGAGCGAGCGCGCGCCGCGAAGCGGTCCGACGGCACGGCGAGGCGGCGCGCGGCGCGCGGCACGGCTACCTACCGTTCAGAGGCGCGTGGTGGGCGAAGTGCGAGGAGTAGAGGCTGGCGGCGACGGCCGCCGGGTGGCCGGCCTGCCAGAGCGCCGGGTGCAGCTGCGGCAGCGCGGGCAGGCCCTGCAGCGCGGAGAAGCCGGCCACGTAGGCCGGCGTGGGCGTGGGCCTGAGCGGCCGCGGCTGCGCGCCGCGCGCCAGCTCGGCGTCCAGGTCCTCGACGTCCACCAGGCTGCCCAGGTCGTCGGAGCAGTGCGAGGCGGCCTCCTCCTGCGAGCAGCTCTGCGGCGACTTGGGCGCGGCGCCGGCCGACGGGTCCCGCGGCGAGGGCGAGCGCCGCGGCTCGCCGGCCGCCGCGTCCTTGCTCAGGTCCGTCGGACTGTCGCCGAGGCGCAGGTCCGTCGCGCCGCACTGCTGCGCCAGCGGGTGCGCGCGCGCGGCCTGGAAGTGCTGCAGCAGCAGCTGGCCGTGGGGCTGCAGGAAGCCGCTCCTGTGCTCGCGCTGGCCGGCCTGCTTGCGGTCGTCGGCGAGCAGCGCCGCCACGGAGAAGCTGAGCCGCTGCGCGCTCGGCCGCAGCTGCTGGCCGTGCGGGCCGGCCTCGGCCGAGCGAGGACTGCTCGGAGCCGGTGTCAGAGGCGACGTCATCCTCAGAACAGTCATTGCTACGCCTCCGAGTGCCGGGACCGCGAGGCGCTGCTGCGGGCACTGCACACTCAACGCGGGATCAAGCCTGCCTCATTACCGGCACACCTCACGCGCACTTGTCTCGTCGGCTCGTCGCTCGTCGGCTCGTCGGCTCGTCGGCTCGTCGGCTCGTCGGCTCGTCGGCTCGTCGGCTCGTCGTCTCGTCGCAGCCGGGTCGGAGGAGGCGCGCGTGCTACCCAGGCGAGCTCGTGCCGTAGACTGACGCGCCTCGCCGCGCCGCGCCGCGCGGCGGCGGCCCGGCGGCCGCGGCGGAGGGGCGCGGAGGCGGAGCCCGCGGCCGGCCCGCCAAGTGGGCGGCGCCGGCGGCCGCGCTCCGAGGCGGCGGCGGCGCGGCTGCGGCGGCGCGGCTGCGGCGGCGCGGACGCAGCTTTTTGCCCGCGCGGACGCGGTCGCGGCCCGGCGCGACCGGGCGACCGACCGCGCGCGCGGCCGCGGAGAGGTCGATTGGCCAATTAGGCTCGGCGCGCCCCGGGTCGGCCGCGCGCAGCCAGCGGGTAATTGGCGAGCGCGCGAGTGCGTGCGCGCCGCATGGCTAGCTGCCGCTCCAATTTGGACGATTACCAGGGCAAACGATACGTTAAATAGATAGGACGGGCGCTCGGTCGCGTCGCGCTGCCGTAATGAGGACCACCCGACAGCGCGCGGAGCCGCGCGGCTATATCGGGCCGCGTCCGCCGAACGCCGCGCGCGGCTCCAGCGGTTGTTGTCCCCGGCTGCCTGGCGCGAGGCGCGCACAAAGGAATGCGCGGCCCGCAAATATGCCAGCAATCCTGAGCGACTGCACTCGGTCGCGCTCGCGCTGCGCGTTTACACAACCGAGATCATTACTCAGCGGCGCGCCTGTTGACTTTGCCCGCTGCCAAGACGCGCTGCCGCAATTAGCTGCGCGCGCGCGCGCGGGCTATCGCCGATCGGACACGCATTCTGCCAGCGCTCGCGCGCTATTTTGACGGTCCACTCGTGCGCTGCTCCTGCCGTTCGGGCCTCGGCGCGCCGTCGGCCACGCGTCACACCGAATTAGACCTGCTATTCTCAGAGGAGCGCGCGGCGGACGCAGCGCCGACCCATTGTCTCGGCCGCGGCCGCGGCCGCGGGCCGCGGGCGCCGATAAGCGGCCGTGCGACGCGGCGAGCGGCGGCGTGCGGCGGCGAGCGTCGGCCAAATTCAATTAAACGCCGCGAAATTGCGCGCCGGCAGGCGGCGCCCTGGCGGCGGCAAAAACGGGGAAATGGAAGAAGGGCGCGGGATGAAAGGACACAAAGGGACGCGCGCGAGAGATAGCGGTCTCCGTTTTCATCCCCCGGGCCGCCGGGCGGGAGGCGCCCCGCGCGCCAGACAGCAACTGCCAATTATTTTCTCCAATTAAAAGGCACCGAGCCGAGCTCGCGCGGCGGGCGCGATACACGTGTAGCGAGCCGTGTACGCGCGCCTCGGCTGCATTTGTACGGGACTGAATCTCGTTAGCGAGGGCCGCCGCCCGATGGAGACGTCTCGCGAGCTCGCTGCGCAACTTTGCCCGTCTCGCCGAGGCGCAGTGGCCGCGGCCGCGGCTCTCGGCTGCGAATAAAATCCGCGCGCAGCCGTCTCTCGCTTCTATTTTCTCATTTCCTCTGGCGGATTTGACGTTTGTTCGTCGACGGGGGCTGCGCGCTCTCGATATTCAATTATTGGGCGGATGCCCGGCGAACGGCGAGGCCGGGAAACGACGGCAGAAAGAGCGCCGGGAGGGGGCGGCTGGGCTTTATGCGAGAGCGGGAGCGGCGCGCACATGCAAATAGCGCTGCCGCGAGGAATCCGAAACAAACGAGCTGAATCGCCGCAGCGCTCGAAGCGCGCACCGCGCGAGACATCTTATTTCTGCGCGCCGAGCAGAGCCCGAGCAGAGCGGCGCGGAGCGGCGCGGAGCGGAGCGCGGCCGAGCCGAGCCGAGCCGAGAGAGATGTTATCGGATCGATATATGCATACGTGCCAGCGCTGCCTGCTCCGGTATAGCTTCATTAAATTTCATCTACTGCTACTGCAGCAGCGCCGCCGAGCCCCCTCCTATTCTTCAAAGTCAGCCGTTTAAAAATACGAGCGCATTATTTTATTTTTGCTAAAACTAAACAAGCAGCGCTCTCCCCCCGGCCAGCCTCGATCGCGAGCCCATGCATTATTCATCCGCCGCGCCACTGCACAGCTCCCATAGGCTGCCCGTGTGTACGCGTTTATAGCCGGAGAAATAATAGAATCAAACAGCATTATCACGTGCACGCGCGGGGCCGCTCGTGCGATTCGTCGCCGAGATAAATATTTGAGATTCCGATCGCGTAATGCGGGGAAACTAGCCGTGATCGTCAGTAAGCCGAAGGGCCGAGTGGACGGCTCGGCGCGCACGTGCGCGCCATGCGTCGGAGCGCCTAGGTGTCTGCGCCCGGGTCGCCCGCCTCGCCCGCCTCGCCCGCCGCGCCCGTCCTTCCCTCGGCCGAGCTTTCCTTCTCCGAGCCCGCGCGGCCGTGCGTCGCAGCGCCTCGCCCGCCGCCCAAATTAACGCGAGTCCGCGGCGCCGGAAGAGCTGGATAAATCAATGGCGAGCGTTTAGCATCTCGGCCGAGTGATCGATGATGCAACGCGCCGAGCATCAATCAAAATCAAAGCATTAGCGCCGCCGTCGCCGCGGTCGGCAGCACTTCCTCGTTTTTTCTGCCTCCTCTTTCAAACGCCGGGCCGCCGGCAAAAAGCCGGCTATTAACGGAGCCGTCGTAACCGCGCGCGGGCCGCGCGCCGGCCACCGGAGCGTGACGCGCGGCGCCAGGGCTGTCGTCGCGGCCGCTTCCTCCGCCCGAGGCGAGCCGCGGCCGCCGCGGCCAGGGCGCGCGCCGCGGACGAGGCCGGCGCGGCCCGCCCCCGCCCCTCGCCTCGTTAGCGGCCCGGCGCTGCTGACAGACGGTGCGCCGCCGAGCTGTTGGCGCTGCCGCCGGGCCGGGCGCGAACACGTGTTTCGCGGGCGTCTGCGGAGCTTCCCGTCGTAAAACGCGCGGGGGCACCGAGCCGCGGGGCCGGCGGCTCGCGGCCGCGGCTCGCCGCCCGGCATTCTCGCCGGCGACATCATCGATCGGCGGCGCGGCGGCCGGCCGTTCGGGGAACGGCTCCGCGAGCGGCTCGGCGGGCCCTTCCGCGAAGCTCGAGGCATTAAGATTCCGCCGGCTGCGGGGCCGACGGCGTCGCCAGGCAGCGGGCTCGCGCGCGAACGGCACGCAGCGGCGCCGCCGCTCGCTCTGCCGAAACCGGAGCGAGCGAGACGCGCCAGCAGCGATCCGCTAACAAACCAGACTCATTAGCTGCCGCTGCTTAGCCCTCGCGCAGTCGGTTTTTACGAGGGGCGCGCGACATTTGTAAGCAATACGCTTCCAAATGCTGCTTCCAAAAACAAACCGAGGCATGAGCGCGTCTGCGTCTCTAGCACCTCGCGCGGCCGCCGGCCGCTTTTTGCCTTTTTGCCTCTCTGCCTCTGCCTCTCCGCCTCCCCGCCTCTTCGCCGCCTCTGCCTCTTCGCCTCTGCGCCTCTGCGGCTCTTCGCCTCTTCGCCTCTTCGCCTCTTCGCCTCTTCGCCTCTTCGCCTCTTCGCCTCTTCGCCTCTTCGCCTCTTCGCCTTTTTGCCGGCGAGAGGCTCGTTTGCGTCGAGGCGTCGCAGGTTTGGCTCGCTCGTCACTCGCTCATATCGTCTATTAATAGCCGCGCAGAGGCGCAGTGAAATATCGACTGCTGCGCGGCTGGATTTTACGCTCGGCGGAGCCGCAAATAGGCGTCGCGGCGCGCGCGCAATATCGGCGCCCAATTAAGAGGTATGCGCGCGAGGCAACCTCGTCGGCCTCGGCTGCCCGGACTTTCGCTAATAGACGGCGCGGCGCGGCGGCGGCGGCCGGCCGGCCGGCGGATGAATTGATATGCCGCGTCACGGCGGCGCGACGCGGCGGTTGGTCCGCCGCGAGCGCCTCCCACGCAGCGCCCGATGCGCGCTCCAATTTGCTGCTAATTCGGTCGGCGAGCTCGGCGCGCGCGGGCTCGCGAGCCCTTCCCGGAACCCGCGCATCAACCACTTTACGGCAAAACCGACAAGCGACAGGCCGAGCGCGCTGCGCCCGCGTCGCGACAAATTTACTGCGGCAGCTCGTTAGCCGCGGCCGCGCCTCGCGCCCGGCTCGGCGCGAGTGGCCGGGGCCCGCCGCGGCCGCGGACCCGCGCGGCGCGCCAGCCAGCGCCCCGGGCCCGAAATAAACAAACACGCGCTGCGGCGCACCACCCAGTCAATTAAGAAGACAGCCGGCTCTATTAGGGAGCGAGGCTGTTTGCGGCGTCCCCAATGACGTACGACCCGCTCCAACTGCCGATTCTATTTTGGACGAGTGCAGTGCGCGCGCGCCGTCGCTGTCGCTGTCGGCGTCGCCGCCGCCGCCGCCGCCGCCGCCGCACGTGCTCCCGACGTTTAGCGCGAAATTCCGGCTGCTCGTTTTTTCCTCGGTTTTTTCCAGCTCCGGCCCACTCCAGTCCAAATTACGGGAGCACTCAGCTAGCTGGCGTCGCGGCGTCTATTTCCGTGTGGCGTTCCGTCTCGGCGAGCGGACCGAGCTCCGATCAATTAGCCGCGGGCAGAGCGCGCGCTGCATTTCGGCGGAGGTGTCACGCTGCGCGCTCGTCGATTCGGAGAGGCCCGTTGCGCCGATGAATGGCCGGGCGACGGTGTCGGGAGGTCCTGACAATGCGCGGCCAATGGGGCACAAGTGGAGAGCGAGTCCGCGGGCGCGCGCCTCCTACGCGAGAGGTCAACGCGTACCTTTTCTTCCCTTTCTTCTCCTCGGGCTTTTCCTTTGCCGTTGCCTCGTTCCGAGTTTCGAGTGCCCGCATAATTGCGATTTAAGGGCCCGGCTCCCAGCTGCAGCCGTCGAGCGAGGACCGCAGCCACAATGCCGCGGCCACTCGACGCGGACAATCGGCCAATCGAACGCTCGACGCCTCGACGCCTCGACGCCCAGCGCGCGGCTCGGCTCTGCCGCGGGCAGGATTCGCGGACGAGGAGCAGCAGGAGGCCACGCGCGCGCGGCACCGGGCATCGGCCGAAAATACTGGCCGATTTGGTTTTAACGACGAGCCAGACTCTTTGGCGAAAGCCAGCCGCCGAGATGTTGTGTTTCGGAGCCGAGCGC